TCTTCCCTGCCTCGGAGACGACCCTATTAGTTGTCTGCCGAGGCCCTAAGCTGAGACTGTTGTACTTTGGACATATCATGAGATAACATGACTCTATAGAAAAGACAATAATACCTGACAAGAAAAGGAAAAGAGAAAGACCACACTGCAGATACACAGTCTATTCAACTCAGTAAAGGAAGTTTGAAAGAACAGGATGATAACAGAATGATTTAGAGTTCTTCATAAGATCACCATAAGTTGAAGTCAACTTGATGGCAGTTAACAACAACAGAAAACCCTTGCAACCTATTTAGGTTGAGTATCCCTTACCCAAAATGCTAGGGAACACATGTGTTTTGGATTTGTTCTAATTCTGGAATATTTGCATATACATATATATAACAAGATAGTTTGGGGATAGGACTCAAGTCTAAACATTAAATTCTTTGATGTTTCATATACACCTTATACACATAACCTGAAGATAATTTTATACACAATGTTTTAAATATTTTAATATTTTTAATAATTTTGTGCATGAAACAAACTTTCTATACATTGAACCATCAGAAAGCAAAGATGTCACTATCTGAGCCTTCTTCACTATCTCATCTCGCTCCCTCAACTGTGTAAATATGCTTTATAGAATGAGGCCTGGATACCACTCTGTACTGCATCTGAAGAAGTGGGTTTATATCCATGAAAAGGTCATACTAGAATAAAAAACATTCTTAAAGGTGCTGCTAAGTTCCTTTTTTCCCTCCTCCCCCTCCTTCCTTCCACCTTTTTGTAATAGATATGTAAATTATTGAACTTTTAAAATAGGCATTGCACAGGGGGAAAGCTTATCAGGACAGAATACAAAGGCCTAATTCCAATTGCTAGCCCCAACTAAGCTAGACCTTTGAACCAATTGTTAAATAGTAATTCAACACCTGTGTAAATCCCTCTTTATTCTAGATGGGTTTTTCTTGTTTTTAAGAGCTGTCAAAAATTGACTCCAACCAATGCAACTTAAGGTGGCTTTCTTGGCAAGATTTATTCAGAGGAGTTTTGACACTGCCTTTCTCTAAAGCTAAGACAGTATGACTTGTCCAAGGTCTCTTATTTGGTTTCCATGACTGAGTAGGAATTCAAACCCTGGACTCCCAAAATCCTATTCCAAGACTTAAACCACTACACCATGCTAGTAACATTTAGGACATGAAAGAGGAAAAAACTGTAAGATTTGTTGCAAAATAATCTCACCTTTAAAGCTTATATGATCTGTTAAACTATATACCCTGACTCTAAGAAGGACTACATCTCTTGTCAATGATTCACTAGTATTAGTAAAAGGCAAAAAAGCACACAAAAATGTATTCCAAGAGTCAATAAATAAGGACTTTTTGCAACTCTGCTGCAATTCATATTCTTTTTAGTTCTACACCACTTGCGGATGGCTTTTATAAATTTTCCCTCTTTTGCAGTGAAACTGAAAACTGGCAATGTCACTATTACAGGGACATATACAAAAAAAACTTTTGGTTTCTCATCTCTTTACAGAAATGATGAAGGCTTGTAATAGGTTGCTAGTCGTGCATTTGCATGAAGGTATGCACCTTAACTTCAGAACACAATGGTGTTACCGTAATTTTGCTGAAGAAAAAAAAAGAGGGGGGGAAGAAAAGGCTATTAAAGAGAAAGACACACTGGAAACAAACTTCAGTACTACTTTTCCTCACTCTGCTGTCAGGCATGGGAAAAAACGCAGGAACACACTGTAGGTTTTGATGCACAAATAGGGAAATAAAATTTGATCCCAGGATGCAGGAATAGGTTTCAAGTCAGCAACACCCAAATGCAAATACATTACTTTTCAAATATTTGAATGGGAGTTGAAGTCAGACGTTTTTGGCAGCATCAGCATATGCTGGAATTAGAAAAGTTAACTGATGCTTTTCCTCACATCACAAGGAGTATATGTAGGTGCCCTTGTGACAATGAGATCATGAGGGCTGTCCCGTGTGCAACTATGGTGGTCACATGAAAATGAGGGCAGATATAATTTAATCAGGTGAGAGCCAAAGTAGTGTAGTGGTTTGAGTGTTGGACTATAACTCTGGAGACCAGGGTTCAATTCCCAGCTCAGCCATGAAACTCACTGGGTGACCTTGGGCAAGTTGCTTTCTCTCAGCCTCAGAGGATGGCAATGGCAAACCACCTCTAAAGCTGCGCCCTTGGCCTTTTATGTCCCTGATTTGTCTGCTGTGGATTCATTTTTTATTTGTCTATTTTATGATAGTTTAAGATTTGTTAGATTTTAACTGATGTTAGTTTAATACATTTTTATGGGGAGGGTGGGGGGGTTGGGACTTTTAGATTGCATTGATGTAATTTTTAATTGCTGTAAGCTTCCCCGATTGTTTTTAACAGAGGGGCAGGGTAAAAATAAGTTTTATTATTATTATTATTATTACTATTATTACTATTATTATTATTACTAAAGAAACTTGCCAACAAACCCCATGATAGGTTAGCCTTATGGTTGCCATAAACTGGAAATGATTTGAAGGCACACAACAGCAACAACAAGCTTGCTGAAATACCCTTGGTAACAGTACAAAAGCCCTTTCTTCTTTTTCATAGGACCACTCTATGTGGTCATTCCTATGCATGTTTACTCAGAAGTAAGTCTCACTGAGTCAATTAAGACTTACCTTTAAGTAAAGCTACAAAAGATCCCAGGGAAGCAGACAGGTTTCTACTGTGACCTCAGTGCAGGTAGTTGGGGTGTAGACAACCTAGTTTCATTGCTTACTCTGCCCTGGCTCCTATGTCTTTAGCAGCTGCTTGACCTGTGGACATCTGCAGATCATATTGCTCCTCATTATCAGGTAATAATGTTCATTCCTCTGCTGTGGAAAACTTAACTTGCTCATTTTTGTAACAATGGCTGCTATTACTACTCAACTGCACGCTGGGTTTTGGTGCCAGTTTAAAACCAGAGCTTGGGAAAGTTACTTGTGGGATTACAACTCCCAGAAGTTCCTTACTAGCATGGCCCCTGGAGTTGTAATTCCCCAAAAAGTAATGGCTGAAGGAAACAGTCACTTTGACAGTCTCAAGCCCAATGTATTGGCTATTTCAGTTTGTAAATAGAATAGACATAGATACAAATAATGTATCTAGCAATGGCAACTAGTGTTATCAGGAGTTACTGGCCTTTGGAAATGTAGGTGACACAAAATGGGAGGGAAGGTGAGAAAACACACCAGAACATCATTTAGGTCAGAGCTTTCTCTTACTCCAGTAGCTAGCTATCTTGTGAAATTAATGCCGGGGTAGAGAACAGACCAGGGAATGGGACATGAATGATGGCAGTGGAAATAAGTTATATATGTTGGTTTACCGTATGTACTTTCTTTAAAAGGCAGCATGATGTTGAAAAAGAAGACATTAAAGCCTTTTACTTTGGTAAGAAGGCACAAGATATTTCTGCAAAAGATTTGTGACTTCTTTTATTAGTATTTGCTGTTGTTGCGTGCCTTCAGGTCATTTCTCACTGGGCAACCTGCATGTGGCCCATTCACAGGGTTTTCTTGGCAAGATTAATCCAGTAGGCTTTTGCTATTGCCTTCCTCTAAAGCTGAGAGAGTGTGATTCTAAGATCACCCAGTGAGTTTCTGTGGCCAAGCAAGGATTCAAACCACGGTCTCCCAGATTCCTAATCTAGCATTCAAACCACTATACCATGCTGTCTCACATATTAGCATTTAGCCAATAATATTGGCACCATCATAAAATATAACATGTTTGGGGCATTTTTCACACTTCATACTAGTAGTAGGTCTTGCTATTTCTAGCTAACAGAAATGGAAATACATAATCTAGTCCAGGGGTCCTCAAACTTTTTGAGCCGGGGGCCGGTTTGCCGTTCCTCAGACCATTGGAGGGCCAGAGGTTAAAAAACCAAAAAAAAACTCCTATGACCTTGAGCAAGTCATACCCTCTCAGCCTCAGAGGATAACCATGGCAACTCTCCTCTGAAGAAACTTGCCAAGAAAACCTCCATGATAGTGGTCGCCATAAGTCAGAAATGACTCAAAGGCATTGGATTACTTGGTCAGGCCACACTCTCTCAGCCCCAGATGGTAATGGAAACCCTCCTCTGGAGAAACTTGCCAAGCAAACCCCCATGATAGGGTCAAAATAAGCTGGAAATGACTCTAAGGCATTGGATTACCTAGTCAGGCCACACTCTCTCAGCCTCAGATGGTCAAAAAAACCACCAGGCAGGCCCGGCGGCGGCAGCACATCAGCAACAGCGGCAGGAGCCTCCTCAGGGCCCTGGTTCCCCTCAGCAAGGGACGGAGAGGGGCACTTCCCCTTCCCCTTCTCCCACTGCTCAGCTCGGCCGAGGCTGGGTCGGGCGCCTGCCTTCTTTCCTTTCTTCCTGCCTCCTTCTCTTCCTTCCTTCCTTCCTTCCTTCTTCCCTGAGCAGCCGCTTCGCCTCCCTCCTCCTAAGATGGTGGTTCCCAAACAAAATGGTGGCCCGAGTCACACGCTCACTTGCGTTCTGGCCTTTCTCTTCCCGTCCTGCCCCGCGACTGGGGGGTAGGGCTTGGCGGGCGACAAGACACAGGCCGGATAAAAGGCCTCAGTGGGCTGGATCCGGCTCGCGGGCTGTAGTTTGAGGACCCCTGATCTAGTCCAATTAGAATCCACATTAACAACATGTATAGACATGCACATTATGGACAAACACAAGTGAGGGAGTGACGTGCTCATTCCTCAGAATAAATATTGAATGCAGTGCAGTTTAAATTTGAATAAGCACAATAGGTGCAGTGTTCACAGCCACAAGTTCACATATGTTTGCTCAAATAAAGGTTCAGTGAGATCAACAGAACTTACTCTCAGCTAAATTGCCTCACATTGTTGGCTCATGGGAAGTTACATTCAACTTAACTGGAATTATGGTACTTTTTAAAAATATGCTTAAATTGAGCATAAAACATACCATATCTATGTGCTGCTTTCCTTGTATTTGTGCGCATATCTGTATTACGAAACATGTAACTCAAAGTTGAAATGACTTTAAAAAAATATTAAGTTCCCTACTGAGATAGTGCATCCAGACCAGGGGTAGGCAACCTAAGGCCCGGGGGCCGTATGCACCCCCCGAGGCCTTTGGACCAGCCCCAGGCCGTTCCTGCCGCCGCCGCCCCCCGCCCACCATGATGATATTGATTATTGTTGTTATTACTTGTTCTTGGGGTTTTCTTGGCAAAATCTCCACAGGGTGTTTGCCATAGCTTTTCTGGGGCTGAGAGAGTGTGCATGCATATTTTTTTATTTTTAAAAAATATTTATTTATTTATTTATTTATTTTTGGTGCTTCGGCCCCCCAATTGTCTGAGGGACAGCAACCTGGCTCCTGGCTCAAAAAGGATACCTACCCCTGATCCAGACTGTAGAAATAATGCAGTTTCATACCACTGTAACTGCCATGGCTCCAGCCAGAATCCTAGGATTTGGAACTCCCTTCCCAGGGAGACCAGAATGGCTCCCTCCTTGTTGGCCTCCCTTCCGACGGGAGACCTACCAGTTCACACAGGCTTTTAAAAACTGAATGTTCAGATGTTGTATCATTTTAAAGTGTTTTATACAGTTTTATCTTTTTAAAATGTATTTTATTCTTTGAATAGCTATTTTAACATTGTAATAATTTAATTCCTTTTTAATGCACCTCTTTTTTATGTTTTTAATTGTATTGTTTTTTAATATTGTGAAACCGCCCTGAGTCCCAGTTCTGGGAAAAGAGCAGGATACTACTACTACTACTAACAATAATAATAATTGTAGTTTTGTGAGGCACCAACATTCTTTGGCAGATAAAGCTAAAGTCCTTGTAAAACTACAAATCCTAGGACTCCATAGGCTGGAGCTACAGCGCTTAAAAGTGCTGTCATACTGATTTATTTCTACAGTGTAGACACATTCTTTGGAGCAACACAGAGGAGGAGCAAGCGTAGCAAGTTATTGTAAGAGAAGGCATTTCTGAAAGGCAAAAAAGGGAGCAATAAGTGTAGGGTTGGGAAAATAAAAATTGTTCCTAGTAATGAGTAACACTGGGTGTATAATGCAACCTTGAAGCATGTGTAGGGAAAAGGTTCCTCCTCCACTATCACCACCAAGTTCTTGCTTCCTGTAAATAAATATGCAGGGAATTGGGCTCTGCACTGAAAAACGAGGATGGCCAGTTTTGTTGTTGCTGATAACTGCCTTTGAGTCAACCTTGACTCATGCTGACCCCGATACATGAGACCTCTTCCAGACCCCCTATCCTCCACCTCTGCTCAGGTTCTGGAGGCTCATGCTCATGTTCTCTCTGATTGAGTCCAACCATCTGTCATGTGGTCTTCTTCTCTTTCTACTGCCCTCTACCTTTCCTAGCATCATTGCCTCCCAGTAATTTGTGCCTTCTCATGATGTTGCCAAAGTATGACAAACTCAATTTAGTCATCTTGGCTAACAGGCATATTGGGCTTTATCTATTCAAGAACTCAGGTGTTTGTCTTCTTGACCATCAATGGTATCCTCAGCACTCTTCTCCAGCTCTACATCTCAAATGAATTGATTGTCTTTCTGTCAGCTTTCTTCACTGTCCAGCTCTCACATCCGTACATGATGATGGGGAATACCATGGCTCAGACGACCCTCACTTTAGTGTTCAGAGTTATGGCTTTATATTTTATGATCTTATCCAGCATGGCATAGTGGTTTGAGTGCTGGACTATGACTCTGGAAACCTGGATCCAATTCCCAGGTCAGCCATAAAACTCACTGGGTGACCTGGGGCAAATCACATTCTCTCAGCCTCAGAGGATGGCAATGGCAAACTCTCTCTGAAGAAACTTGCCAAGAAAACCCCATGATAGGTTTGCCTTAGAGTCACCATAAGTCTGAAAAGATCTGAAGGCACACAGCAGTTTTAGTATAGCTGTCCTTCCCATTCCCAGTCATCTTCTGATTTCGTCACTGCAGTCTCTGTTCTGCTCAATGTTTGATCCAAGGTATGGGAACTCTTTGACTATTTCAATTTTCTTGTTGTCTAGGATGAATTCTTGTAGATCTTCAGTGGTTGTTTATTATTGTTGTTGTTTGTTGTTGTGTGCCTTCAAGTCATTTCCAACTTGTGGTAATCCTAAGGCGACCCTATAATGGGGTTTTCTCAGCAAGATGTGTGCAGAGATTTGTCATTGCTTTCCCCTGGGGTTGAGAGTATGTGACTTGCCAAAGGTCACCCAGCGCGTTTCATGGCTGAGCAGGGAATCAAACCCTGGTCTCCAGAGTTGTACTCCAACATTATAGCACTATGCCATTATTTAATGTTCAGCCTTAGTCTAACCTTGGCACTTTCCTCCTTTGACCTTCTTCAGTAATTGCTCCAAGTCTTTGTTAGTTTCTGCAAGCACTTGGTATCTGCTGGGGTTTGGTTCCAGGACATCCATGGATACCCAAATCCATGGATGCTCAAGTCCCATTAAATACAATAGCATAGTGAAATTGTATCCATTATTTTAAAAATAGCAAAACCAAGGTTTGCTTTTGGGATTTCTATTATTATTGAATATTTCCAGGCCGTGAATAGTTGAATCTGTGGATAAAAAATCCGAGGACACAAGAGGGCTGACTGTACAGTGGTCCCTCCACATTTGCTGAGGTTAGTGGTGAAGGACTCAGGTGAATGTGGAAAAACTGCAAATAAGAAAGACATAATTCTCTTTACCTAAGAGAACATCTCTCTAGGAATCTCCAGGTCCTCCAGTGTAACTCTATGGTCAACATCTGCCAGAAGCTGATCAAAGGACCTTTGCAGACTGTCAGAAATAGTGCAAATTGAGTCCACTTTAACTGTCCTAACTCAGTGCTAGGGAATCATGGGAACTGTAGTTTATTGTGGCACCAGAGCTCTCTTACAGAGAAGGCTCCATGTCTCAGAAAAAAATACAATTCCCATGACTTCCTAGCACTGAGCCAGGGCAGTTAAAGTGGACTCAATTTGCACTATTTCTGGCAGTCTGCAAAGGCCCAAAGAATCATGCTGGAGGACTTACAAATACCCAGAGAAGTGTTTTCTCTAGGAACTTCTAAGTTCTCCAGCACAACTGTACGGTCGACATCTGCCAGAGGTTGATCATAGGATCATTCTGGAGGACCTACAAATGCTTAGAGAAGTGTTTTCTCAAGGAACCTCTTAAGTTCTCCAGCACAACTCTAGGATCAACCTCTGGCAGAGTTGTGCTGGAAGTCCTAGAGATTCCTAGAGAGAGCTTAGTAATCAAACCCGCAAATAATCAGATTTGCAAGTCAAAGCCACAAATGTGGAAGGCCAGCTGTAGTAAGTATGGTGTCCCCTGCCTCTCTTTAGGTTATTGGTGTTCCTTCCCCTGCTCCTGCTCCTTCCTCCTCCTCCTGCTGCTGCCTGTGGCTGAGTCTTAAGCCTGCTCTGCGTAGGATGTTTCCTGCCTCCTCCAGGTTGAATAGCCAGGGCAGACGGCTGGCTAGAAAGTGGGAAAAGAGGCGCTCCCTTCCTTTGCCGGGTCCAATCCGCGTGGCGCAGGGCCATAGGACTGAATGGAAGGCATGGGGCGCGTCTGGAAGCAAAAGGAGGAGAAGGATGCATGGAGGTTCCCTTCTCTGGCTTTGCTTTGGGGCTGACTTCGAAATGGAGGCAGCGGGGATCCTGAGCGCCT